AAAACATGAAAAAGTTCAATAACCTAATAATTCAATACAAAAACCCACATTGTTAACACATTGTTCCTTCTATTTCACTTTTGTGGGTCTTTTCCCATTCTTTTAGTGTACTTATATAATTGTAATCTTTGTCTCTATCTCCATTGGGAGCCGAAGGGACGCCGGTTCAAGTCCCGATCGGACAAAGGTTGAAGTGGTAGCTGGAGAGTTGACTTCCATGTGCATAACAGAAAAATGCATGTGTTTGTAAATGTATATGTGTATTCAGACCTAATGTGTATAGGTCCTGTCCTTTGCATGTGTGTGTTTTTTACTGTGTATAGTAACAACTGAATTTCCCTTTGGAGATAAATGAAGGGTCTCTTTTCATTTGATATCTAACATGTATGTTTTAGCCACAGTCTCACCTGCACTTAGCACATATCTCACTAAACCCTGCCTTTTTCCTTGCAGAGAGAGCAGTGTCAACATATTTCCCGAAGCATCTGGAGACAGACAGGAACAATTAAAAGCTGTTAAGTGAGTGTGTTTGGCATCAGGCGGCCGGACAGCTCCCTCTGGCAGGACTGAGAGACTGAGGAGAGACTGAGGAGAGACTGAAGAGAGACTGAAGCCCTCTCGACAGCGTTCCTCATCCAGGGCCCCCGAGAACTTCTGAATGAGTAAAATGATTTGATTATGTTAAGGCTAATGACGAGGGGCATACTTAAATCCATCTCCTTCCTTGCTTCTGCCCCTGATTCAGCACGCTGTCAGCAGCTTGTTAGACGTTTTCACTGAACCTCGGCTCACTGTCAGATGAAAACTGGGAGAACAGAGAGGTGTTACCAGACAGGGAGGAGAGCAGAGTCAAGGATGAAGGTTTTGGGTGGTCTTCTGCCGTGGAACAAGTACTCAAATATTCTACTTTATAAATCTAGCAATTTCACTGTGAAATACATACTCTCAATGTCATGCATTCAAAAGCAGGGATGGGAGTGTAGGAATACTCTGTTAGAAGTAAAAGTCCTGCTTTCAAAATGTTATTTGAGTACAGTACTTAAATAAATCTACTTAGTTACATCCACTGTTCAAAAGTACAAAAGCATCAACACTTACCTAAAGACCAAATGAAAAATAACATGTTGTGCAGAATGGCTTAAGAATAATTGAGGCTATATGATATAATTTGATTAAAATTATTGATGCATTAAAGTGTTTAATGTTGGTAAATATGGAGCCAAGATTCTGAGTTTTACCGCAGGGATCAATAACATTTTAAATGAATCTACAATAATACATGATAGATCACTTCTTGATAGTGTAAGTAAGTTATCGAATGAATTTACGCACCAAAATGTAGAGGAGCAAAAGTAAAAAGTAGTCTAAAATGAAAATAATTAAGAAAAGTACTTAAACATTAAGTACTCAGTAATTTCACTTATCCACAAAACTGCTGGTCACAAGAGTTCCTTTGACTTTATACACCTATTAATAATTCTCATTAGTTAGTGTAATCCACAATCCACTCCTTATGCTTCCTTATACATCTGTTCCACTGCTTTGTGTGACGTAACCCTTATGTTGTGTTGGGGTCTCCCGTGACCCGTTTCAAGTTAAAATGATATAATAACTACGGTCTAGTTTTTTTTATCTGAACAAGGCTTCATGATATCCTCCACAACAGCTATATAAACACTACAACACTGATTTTGACCATTTTAGCCAAGTCTGAAGGTCTCTCAAAAAAAAAGTGTATAATTTGGTGTTGGGGTCTGGGGAGACCCAGCAGAATTGTTTTGGGTGACTAGAGGTCAAATTTGGCCCAATCAAGATTCATCTTTGACTTTAGACGCCCCTCCCCCACCCCCTTCATACACTGTAACAATAATTTTTCGCAACATGCACCTGGTCTCCCCTCCCTCTGGCCCCCTCCCCCCACGGGAACTCCACCTTTCTCAAAGAATATGTACACTAGGTGTAATGTCTTTTGGGCCATAACATTAAATTACAACAGGATTGTACGGTTATGAATGCATTATAAGTTAGTTATGATGTAGTTAAAACAATATTGGATGATAGTCATTTTTTTTTTGTGTTTTGGACTGAGATAAATCATGGGTCAAAATTGACCCGCGAACACCATGAACGGTAACAGCTTTCGAACACAACACAAGGGTTAACTCGACTTGACTCAACTCATTTGTATTATTAGTAACTTTGCTCTATTTCTTTTTCCACAGCAGAAAGTACACTGTTAGTTGTACTGCTGCGTGAAACCCCTGGTACGTCACTCTGAACGCAAAACTCATTGATTTCTCCACCAATAACCATTCAGAGGAACAACTGTACGTCAATCCAACAGTGCAGTTTTGCGAGCTAATATATTTTTCCTTCTTGCAGACGCTGGTTTTCTATGTCATTTGTCTACAGTGTTTTAAGTAAACCTTCTCCAAGCTCCTAGACTGAAGTGATACAACATTTTCTAATAAATAACCATGACTTTTGCTAAAGGAAAACCAAAAAAGAGTTGGTGTCCATCAAGGCATTCTGAATGTGGCATTTGTCCAAAGTGTAAAGACAAAAATGTCTTGTTTAACGGGGTTGAAATTGTACTATTTCTTGGACAGGAGGAGAATGGTCTCCGCTATTTCCTGGACAACTGGTACTGATTAGCTTAAATATTAAAACAGTCAACAGAGGCATGTGCCTGTGTGTCAGTCAGCTGCTCAGGATAAACCACCTTAGATGTTAGCACACCAACTTTAATCTGTGTCCCTGCTGCAGAAGTCAATACCGACCATATGGAGACATGGAGTCACGTCTCCAGTAATTGACAGAATTTTAATACCAGGACCAAAACTGAACAATCAGCAGCATGCCAGGCTCGTCCCGCCCCTCAGTTTAAGTGACGTATCAAAGAAGGGGAAACAAAGCCGGCGTCTGACGGACAGCGACCTCTGCTTCCTGTCCGTCAACACAACAAAGACATCCGCCATCCATTTACAGGCAGCTGCCGCTCCAACAATCTGAACCCAAACGAATTACTGTAAAGAAAAAGGAAATCACGTTAGGGACGAGAGTGGAAGTGGAGAGGAATCACGGCCTGTTGTTCTAATATTAGCGCTGCCATTGTTGTGGGTGAAGCCTGTGAATGGTCGTAATACGCCAGCAGTCACTGTGATTACATTTCGTACTCAGGACAATGTTCAGAATAATTTGTGTGTGTGTTGCGTGTCCATTCTTCCCGATGCATTAGGGCCAATCAGGGGACGTCAGTGGTCCTGTTACTGTCTGATCCACTGCTGTGAGTAACAAGATCAGACCAATGTTTAGGGACGATATCGAGCTTTTATTTCATATCAGATATCGGTCGGTCGCTGTTGTAAAAACTGGACTGATACTTTAATTAAAACTACCTGTAAAAACAACAAATTTAGTTTTCACTTGGGTTCTTATTTGATTGTCCCTTAAGTTATCATTTTAAATGCCTTGTGTTTTTTTTCTATGTTTTTATTATTATTTATTTATTATATTATATATATTAAAGGTGGGGTAGGTAATTTCGGAGAAACCAGCACTAGAATTTGAAAATACACAACCAGAGAAAATCTGCCACTTCCTTACAGAGCCCCTCCTCCAACACACACGAACGCGCACATGACCAATGAGGGCACGAGATAAGTTTGTGCACAGATGGAAGGCTGACAGGCAGGTAGGCCATCCAGTTATTTTAGCCGGGCCGACTCAGATGATTGGTCGTGCTTTTTACAGCGCTACGGCTTCCACAGATGATTTTTTGTCAAAGCACTTAAGATATTCATTGCTATCAGGATGTTAAGAGCATTCCATGGAATATAACAAAAAGTGTATCTTGAGCCGGTTTCTCAAACTTACCTACCCCACCTTTAAGTCTTTGTCTCTTTGTCACGTACAAAACATGACCAAAAGGAAAAGAGAAAATACATCATATAATATTTACCAAACATATATATTCATACAAAGTTATTCCTAGACAATTATATACTTTTAGGGTGATTTATTTAGCTAATTTCTGTCAACTAATGATTACTTTAATATTCCGTAATATTTTTAAATCAGTCCACATAGTCGATAAAAGTTCAAAAATAATGAAAACATTTTTTTTAAATCACACTCCAAAATAACAGTATTTTAACTTCTCAATAATTATTTAAATAAAACATAAAAAGGACACATTTTAAGGACCAAATGTAATGTTTTCCGAGTAATTTATTCTACCTGAAAAAAACATAGTTGCAATTTTTTTGTAGACAGGAAAATATCCGCTACCAGTAAAACAACAAATATATTCTCCCATCAAAAACCAGAATCAATCAACCCTTCCACATGTGCATGTGTGTGTGTGTGTGTGTGTGTGTGTGTGTGTGTGTGCGTGCGTGCGTGCGTGCGTGCGTGCGTGCGTGCGTGCGTGCGTGCGTGCGCGTGCGTGCGTGCGTGCGTGTGTGTGTGTGTGTGTGTGTGTGTGTGTGTGTGTGTGTGTGTGTCCTTTTGCATCACAACCTGTTTAGTCTCTGTGTTATCGACACTTCCTCGTCCACAGCCGCAGGTCAGGCAGCTGAAAGAGACAAAGCGAGAGCGTGCGGAGCGAGATGGCCGAAGAAGAAGAAGAAGAGGAAGAAGATGAAGGAAAAAAAGGAAACGTTTCACCGCTTTCAGAGAGACTCCATCGGTGAGCTGCCCCCCCCCCCTGCCTCAACCCTCTCTCTCTAATCACATTACCCAAGAAAACTTTTACTTATGGCTAATGGAATTCGCTTAAAATTGAGCGGCTTGGGCGAAAGTTGATTTGCATTGATCCAGATATGTATAGAGCCAAAGTCAGTCTATCTATTCTGTGAGGGAATTAAAGGCCGCTAAGCCTATAGAGCCAGACTGTATAATCCTATGTTAAAAGATCAATACTGGCTGGAACCCACGTGAGCTTTTTTCCATTGTGTGTGTGCCTGAGTGTGTGTTTTTATCCCGAATGTATATTTTACCTGTATATCCTTCAGTTTGTGGGAACTGGCGCTCCTCTGCTGGTCTCTGGCCGCGGTTCATCGTGAAGGACGGGCTCTTTGGAGCGGGTTGAAGGGTGTGGTGGGGCTTTTGCAGTCAAACTGTTAACACCATACAAATAAGCGCGGCTGCCCGGCGTTTATTTAGTTTGACACCCATCGTCTCGCGTGCCCTCTGACAGCTTTCACCCCCTGGAAGAGTTGGCAGCCAAGAAGTGGTGCAGCTCTGGCTTCGACGATCAGAAACCATCTGGATGTGAAACAGCGCACAGCTCCTGCACATTTCTAAGAAACATCAACAACTCATCTGGCAAAAAAGAGGCATCAGTGTCCGAGCAGTCGTAGCATCTTCTAGTTTAGATATTCTGTCCAATAGTGATGTGCAGACTGACTCTTTGTACAAATTAGGTTCCTTTAAACATTTCATACCTTTACAGTGTTGATACATTTTGCATAATATGGCATCAGTTTCTTCTTGCCAATTTTAAATTACATGCATGTTTGACTGCTAGTGCTGCCCACCCCATAAAACTCTTTGATGCATTACCCGTCATAATGAAAGTTTACATGAACAAAGACTTTCCTTTCTGATTTGTTTCTGGTAATTTTGGACATTTCAGAGGTTGTTAATCTTCGCTAACAAATTGTTGCTAAGGTGAACCAACATTACGGTTTATAGACTGGACAGAAGAAGACCAACAGGAAGTAAACACTAACGGGAACAGTAGAAGAAGACAGACAGGAAGTAAACACAAACAGGAAGACTGTATGGTCTTTGGTAGTGTTAATGGAAAATAAAATGTGAACAGACTTGGACAGTTACAGAAACATTAATCAGTGCTGCCATCATTTGAAGTTACGTTGCTGTCGCCACAGAGTTAGCCGTTGGTACGCCTTGAAAAATACCGTTTTTTCTTAGCAGAAGCAATACCTCGTTTTCTTATATCACAAAATAATCAACATTGTCAATCAAGTCGTTGGTTTATGAAGTATCTAAGCTGATAGAAATGACAGGCGAAACTACAAAAATAAGACCCAATTTGTAACCAGAACAATCCTTTACACTCAAAGCTTTTTCCCGGCATCCTCTTATCGCCAAACGTCTATTTGCACCATCATCGTGTTAGCATAGCTTCAGGAAACTCTTCTTTCTTTTGCATGTGCTTAACATGGAGTCAAAGAGGGAGATTAGCTAAGTGTTCAAGCCTAATCAAATCACAAGGTTTTAACTGGGCGACATTGATCAGCTCGGGCAAATAATTCCTCGTGGCAGTCCATCAATCTCATCCATATTCACTCCCCCCCCGCAAACATCTCCGCGGTCCCCCCTCAAACCCCGAGAATGTGCTAAATGACCTCACACACACTGACAGCGTCGCCACACACACACCCGATAGTGACCTCATTGATGAGCCAAACACACACTCACACACACACACACACTAATCAGTCAGGAGGTCACAGCGAACCCATCATCATCACACCGGCTGCGATGGACAGCAGCAGCAATGACATTGGCGAATCTGATGACTAAGAAAATCCAAATATAAGATTAGTCCCTCTGACTATCCGGCTCCTAAGTGCCACTCCACACAAATGGGGCCCTAAGAAGATAATAACCCTACAATTGCTTTTATAGGGATGGAGTTATTCAATTACAAGCCTCCAGAGTGAAATGTTGCTATAACTGTACCACGGCCGGGAGAGTCTGGGAGAGGAGACTTTTTTTTCAACAATCGTTGGATATAAGTAAACGTGGCGTAAAGTTTCCAAGAAGAAATGTGAGTTTATGTGTAAAAACTCGACATAAGAACCTTCTTTCTTGTACATGTATTTTTGTCCAAGATGGATTTTCAAGTTACAAAATACTTCACTCCTCACCATTGTTAGGTTGGTCGACTTTTTTCCACTTGGTAGAGGAAGAATTACTTTTACGGGTAAATCAATATCCGCAATAATTATAGAAGGAGTTCAAATGGCAATGTTTTTTAATCTGGCAAAATGATCTAAACAATGTTTGGTCATCTTTGCATGACTAAGCGTACTTTTAGGAACACATATAGGCCTGTTAGGCTGTTCCCTGTTAGTTCAATTTTCTGGAGGACAGCATCACTTTTCCGGGTGTTTCCATGCTAAAATAAATTGCTGTGAAAAATATTGTGTACGAACCCAACACAGAATACTGATGAAGACCATGTTGTACCTAATACTTCACCCTGAAACATACTTGCTGCACACATGGCCTTAAAAGATGGTATGGTGTTCTGCACACAGGTCTACATCTTGCATCAGTCACATTTGGGTTTCATTTGCATACTAAGATGTAATCAAACTGCCACCTTCAGGGTCTTATAACAAGTAATAGTGAAAAATGACCAATAACAACCACAATCTCTCCTACAACCCTCGACTGCAGGCTGAACCACAGTATTATCTTTACCTCACAAGTGAGAGTTAAATAACTGAAGTTATACGGAGCCAAAAATCTAATAATTTGACATATTTTGTGCCATTTTGGAGATATTTGGACGGTTTAAAGAAAGAGCTTCCAGTTCCTGTTACTTCATCCTCACATGACAAATTATATTTTTACGTACAATTGTTTTTTATAAGCAGTTTCCTGTAAATTGTTCTTAGTTTCAACTTACTGGAAGACAGAATCACTTTTCCGGGTGTTTCCATGTTTGGTGCGATCAGATATTTTACAATCATTTCAAAAGGAGTTCAGATAGCATTGTTTTCCGATTGGAAACCAATCTTAATGACACATGAGCATGACTTTATACAATATGCTGATAAACCGCACGTTTTATTTAATACTCCTACCCCAAACATACTGCATGCATGGCCTTAAAAGATGGTATGTCGTTCTGCACACAGGTCTACATCTTGCATGAGTCACATTTGTGTTTAATTTGCATACTAAGCCTTTTTAACGTCACCAAATTGAATCAAACTGCCACCTTCAGGGTCATATAACAAGTAACAGGGAAAAATGACCAACAACAACCACGATCTCTCCTACAACCCTCGACTGCAGGCTGAACTACAGTTTTGTCTTTACCTCGCTGAACCTTTCCACCAATGAGAATGAGCGGCTGCTGTGCGGGGGCTCCGGCCGAGTTAACGAATGAGAGGCTTTGACCATTCTTCCTCTTCTCGTTGGCAGCATCCACTCAGAGCTGTTGAAAGTCCGGAGGCAAAGCTCGCCCTCTCCCCAACCCGCTACCTCCAACTTAATCCTGTTTGTCCCCGTTTACCAGGATTGAAGTGGAGAGGCCTCTCTGGACCCCCAACCCCCCGCTGCCTCCCGCGTTTAAAAACATTCCCTGGACCATATCTATGTGCCCTCATCCAGGACAACTTCTATTACTTACAAATTACAGGCTCGGTAACCCAGTTACCCAGCGAGGCTCCCGGTCCTCTGAAAATCGACAGGGTTTCCAGGGGACAGCGGCCCGGGCAAGGGCAAACCACAACTGAGAGGAGTCTTTATAAAGAGAGATGTCACACATATGTGCAGGTACAGTACCTCATATCCTCTACATTCAGAGTTAGAGATTCCCCCAACTCACCGTCGATTTAGGGCCAGCCAGAACGTTTCAAAGAGGTATTTTATTCAACGTTGCATCATTCAATCAGGAAACGCTGCTATTTTATAGAAATTGTTATCTCTTTATTATTGCTCTGACTAAGTGTTCAACTGAAAACGTTTTGCATCGTCCACCAAGCTAGCTAAAGTGGCTCAAGGCCTCTCTCTTCTGCTGCTGGCTCTGGAGCTTTTAAGCAGCCTCCTCGTTGGATCAATGCAGCTCACCTGGGCAGAGCTACTGGAGGTAAAAAGGCACAGGGAAACACATACAGCCGTAACAACAATCTAAAAAAGAAAATTGTAAAAACAAATGTAATGCTAACCCTAACCCTAACCCTAACCTTGTTTATTATTATTATTATTATTATTATTATTACTACTACCATTTTATATATTTTTCTTACATTTTATATTATTATTTACATTTTACATGTCACAGTTTATTTCATGTTTGCACTGTATTGCATGTTTTCTTATGTCATTAGGTTCCAAATGAGGAGATTATATATTTTATTATTTTTTATATATTATTAATCCCCCGTTTCCTATTCAAACATTGTTTATATTGTTTTATTTATATTTTAGTTATTACTTTCCATTTTTAAATGCATGTTGGAGCCTCCCGCAGGGAAACACCCTGAAATAAACCCTTAATAAAGTATTTTTAAACATCATCCGAGGCGTGTCCCATGTCTCACCTGCACCACCTCTCTAGACCTCGGCCTGGGTTTTAAACACTTTTAGGGACACTTGGTTGACTTTATTTTAAGATATATCCCCTCCCTGTGTGCCTACTAACCCGTGTGTATTTTATATTTTATATTTTACATATTTGTTTTATATTATACATATTTTAACATTTGGGTTGATTTTTATTATCAGCACTTGTTTTTAAAAGCACTTATTTTTAAAAGCACTTTTGTGTATTTATTTTATCATTTTTTAACACTAATTTGACCTGCTTGCCGATTTTAAACAAAGTCAACCTCGGTCCTTTTAGCCAGATGTTTTTTAACCCACTTACCAGGTCTTTTACCAGATGCTGTGGGACGCAGCCTCGGACACTCCACCGGGGGAGACCCCCTCGGGGGGGCAGGAGTACAGGTTGTAACCCCGCCGCATACTGCTGCAGCCGCTGCTCTCTTTTATCCCTTTTATTCCATTTTTTAAAACATTTTTAACCCAGACCAAACAGGGCTTTTATAAACTTGTATTGGTTTTACTACAGGAGTTTTTAAATAGGTTTTTAAACACAAAATATTGACTGGAGAGCCCGTTCCCCAAAACCCTAACCCTGAAATGAAAAAAACAGTAGTACTATTGTACTGTAATTTGGGAAAGGTACAATGTATCTGCAAAAACTAATAATTCGATGCTTATTAGTCAAACAAAGTCTACATTTTATTTTAATTATGATCAGAATATTTGATACGTTTGTTGTCACATCACTT